CAGCTGGGGCCTCAATGTTTTCTAGTTGGCACCCCCACTAATCCTGCCTCCAGCAGGACTGGTCCAAGGAACTCTCCCCCCATCCCCCCCCCCCCCCCCCCCCTCAGGCCATAGTATAACAGAGAAAATAGATTGTTTGATATAGTAATTTTTTGTTATCGGAAATAGTGAATTTTTAGTTTGTGTTTTAATATCAAACCAAAAACATTGGCAAACACTAGAACCCACATTTTCTCCTACTTCAGCATTAGGCAATTGATCTCTATTTGTCATTAATAGCTCTAGAATTTGATCTCCTCTGGCTGGGCATTTTACTAATTGTTTAAGGAAAACCCTTTTCAATGCCTCACACATTCTCTGCTCTTGCTTGTAAGCGCAGGTTAAAAACGTCAGTTAATGCCTGGCATGTTGAAATCATCCCTAATTAAAACCTCTCCCATCATTGTCATTTGAGCTGAGTTATCTTGTCAATCAATAAGTTATCATAATCCTAAGAGCATCCTGGGGGCCTATATACTAAACCAATTCTAAGTAACGATCCCTCTCTGCTTTGTAGGCGGACCCAGAGGGTTTCAAGTAGCATAGTTGTTTTTTGAATAGATGTTGGTTTTATGCTATTCTTGACATAAATTGCAACTCCAACCCACCTTTTTCCCACTTCGTCTTTTCTGTAAAGTGTCTTCCCTGTTATAGTTATTTCTCAGGCTTTTGAATCTCTGGTCCATGTTTTTTTAATGACAACTAAGTCTAAGTTATCCCCAGTTACATAAAAACCATCAGCTCACACGGCTTGTTGAAATATGAGCATTATTGCCCATGTCATGATAAAATACTTACTATGGGGGCACTCCTGCGTGCTTGCTTCCCAGCCCCGCTCTTTGTGTCCATTAACACACATAGCAGGGCTCAGCCCCATCTCCTCTCTCCTCACTAACTGTGACTGACAGTAGCGGGAGCCAATGGCTTCCACTCCTGTGTCAAAGCCAATGAGGCGGGAGAGAGCTGGAAGAGCCGCTGCTTTCATACACATCACTGGATGAAGATCAGGCTCAGGTAAATGTAAGTGGGGCTTATGCACACTGAAGACTTTTTAATTTCATGCATAGAATTCATGAAGGCAAAATAACCTTCAGCCTTTGCAACCACTTTAACTGCATTAGCCACCCCACCCAAACCATTGCATTTGTTTTACCTGCCGGGGACAGAAATCGCACACGCTGAACTCTACAATTCAAGTAACTCTTATTTTGCATTACAGAAAGGTAAAACCTCTGAAAATGTAAGAGTGCAACCTACCTTGTGAATATCCTGGCCCAAACTCTGGAAATCCCTTTCTAAAGATTATTTAAAATGTGCTTCTTTTCTCCTCTGACAATAGCACCAGGTAAATACATAACGCCTTTCAATAATCACACACCATTTCTTGAAGAAACATCTCTTACAGCTGAATTAACAACAAGAAGATGACTTCACATGTTGGAATCCTTATCCATGACACCTTCCTAGTTTGTAACATCAGATATGTAGTGTCCTCTAGTGTAGATAGTTTATTTAGTGTAGCTAGAGGCTTGCTAGAAACCTGGGTGTGAGTCAGTGGGTTACTTTAGGTCAGCCTGGAGGGCTCTACAAGTCAGTCCTCTGATACCTCCCCCTACTCTAGAAGCTTGGAGAAGCTTCTAAAAGTTAGTAGGCGGAGGTGAGGAGGAGCTGATCTGCATATTTATGGGTGTCTGACCAATCCTAGGCAGGAGGCCTGGGACTGTGGCAGACTGGCCAATAAATATGGCAGAGCCTGGCCAGCAAAGGGGAGTTGGGTGGATGATGGATGGTTGAAGTGCTGCTGTGTAGCCTGGGAGGGGGCCCAAGAGAAGGGGAATTCTGCCTCCAGGCTGGAGGTTGGGAGGAAGGAGGAATGCTGAAAGAGAGAGCTCCACGGCCCTGAAATCCACCAGGGAAGGACAATCTGCATAGCCTGGAAAAGAACGAGCCCAGCAGAAGGCCTGAAAGCAGTTCTATTTATAGCTGCAGGACAAAGATAGTGTGAGTATCTCTACACCCTCAGGGCCTATAAGAGAGAAGTTGCAAGTTCTTGGCAAGTCTTCAGGGGTGTAACGCTCACCCAATCCCTTGTCCTGGGATCAGATACCATAGCCAGATGGGACTGGTATTTTGTCCACTAAGGTAACCAAGAGCTCCTACAAGTTCTCAGTTTGCTGAAAATACACAGCCATTCATCTGCCATTTTTGTAGTATTTAGAGAAGGGAATTGTCCTCAATTTGTTATTCTGCAATCAAGTTGGGCATCCCATAACCCCTTTACTATATCCAAGTTAAATTCCCTAATAAAACTAAAAAAAACAGTCCATGCACTGTTTCTTGTGTCTGGATACAAGTGGAAAATGAGTGTTGTCTGGCTGTGCAGAAAGTAAAGGGGGACTCAAAGCCAGCAGCTCTCAAGGGGGTAGCGCTACAGATACAACCAAAATTTACTTTTGTCAAAGCAATTTGTTTCTTAGAGACCTCCATTCAACGCCCAGAAGGGTATCGCAAACCGTTATGCTTGCAACTTCTGCACCACCGACCAGTTCAGAAAGAACACATCAGGTTAAATGGAGACAAACCAAAAGCTAAATGTTTATGGTCTACAATCTTCACTCTTCCAGACGCAATAGTTGTCCACAATGGCCTTCTCCTGCACAGTGTTTTTAGAAAAAGGAGGTTCTTTGCAAAGCAGGTCAGCAGGACAAATGGACTTAGATATTCTCCTGATCCAAGATTGTGCAAAGCTGCATTTAGAGCATCTCAGCTTTACTGTCCAGTCAAACTCTAACAATATATAAACTGTATAAAAACAATAAATACAATACCCACAACAAGTAAATTGTTTCGCTTTACAGTTAAAGTCAAACAATGAGTGCTTAATTAGGTGCTTTGAAGTGATGTCTAAGCTGCTATTTTTATTTTCTCTTTGATGCACAGACTATCATACCTGGGAACTTTTAAAAGTCGGTAAGTGTCAGAAAAGGGTGAGACAAAGAAAGGTAATAGCGGTGCAAGTGGCGTGCCGCATCAAAATATGTATGGAAGTCACATTGTATGCACAGAACCAAAAGAAAAACACTGTTTCCCTAGTGCGTTGAAGCAAACTGAAGGGTTAACTAGCACAGCATATGGCAGAGGAAAAAAATGCTGTGGTGTCAGTAATAGAAAAAAATATGTCCCCATGGTAATATTGTCAGTAGAAGTAAAGAAATGCCCCTTGTAATAGTGATGCTGGGTGCAATTACTAAAAACAAGTCATATACACACACACAATCAACATGCAGTCATGCAGGTACTTTTAATCAGCATTTAAACCATTACATGTTCTACGCATTGTGGAAGACCAACTACCCAATGAATACCTGCCCTTGAACATCACAGCATTCACCCGGCACTCCAAGATATAACAGAATCCAACTGCAATATTCTTGTACTGTCAAAACCTCCACTTTTATTATCACACGACACACATGAGGATATATCTTATAGTCATCGCAATCTGCATAATAACACACACCAATAATAATGGGAGCATTACAGCATGAAATAGACACATCATTTGACAGCGTCACAGCATAGAATTAATACATTAACAAAGCTATGTGGAAGCTGGGAGGAACAAATCAAATCGGAACCAAACTGCCCAAGGGGTCACGTAGAAGCCATAGGCGCGACCAGTCAAGCCCATATAGCCTTAGTAAAAATCCCAGCGTCAAAGCGTCCTCTGGCCACTAGGGGAGCTTCTACTGGTTGCCTGGACCTCCGCCTTATAAACCCTTTTTCTGGAAGCGGTCCAATTGTGCGCGCGGCACCACACCCACCACAGGAGGAGCTAGCAGAAGGGTTCCGCGAGGATAACAATCACGTTCAACCACCATATTCATTATCTGAAAAGTCACACTTTTGCTTCTTATCTACACCAAAACCTCTTTTCATCTCCCCCAGACTTAAGGATTTCTAAATTAGATGTTCTTAAACAGGTTTTTCTTTCCTAATGTGAGGTTACTTGATTTCACAAAACAGGGTTTATTCCATAAACAAGTTTTTATCTTGCTCTCAGCAAAATATCTTGTGACTCTGTCCCTTTGGCTAAATAAAATGACATCAAATCACTTCTCATGCCCCTGGCATTTGGGCAACAATGCTTTATTGTAAAAATTACCCAAGAAACAAAAGGGTCCAAGGCCAACACATTTCATAGGCATTACACCCCTGTTTTGGCATTGTCAGTGGAAAGGGGGAAATGCCCCAAGGTTAGTGGTGTCAGTGGGAAGAAAGAAATGTTTTTCAGAAAGGGACAATTTGTAGTATAACTTTTGTACTTTGACTGGCTTTCGGAAGTGTAGAACAGGTATTGTCAAACAAGAACAGGTGCAATGTGGATACCGTGCCTCTGCAATGCGAGATTCAGCTGCTGGTAGCCAGGAAACTGGTGCTCTCAGTGCTTCTGCTTACCTGTCCTCCCTCACTCTCTTTGAGCTCCCATCTTATGAAGTTCTGAGTCCTGGGTGGTTGGGTCAACCCTGGTGATGAGCAGTGCCGAGGTAATGCTATCTTTCCAGGGTCCTGTCTAGACACATGCTTGCGTGAGCACCAAAGTAGCTGTAAAGTGGCTGCTGGACTGGCTCTCTGCTTCGATTCTGAATATAGACATCAGCTGAATTTGAATCCACTAGCTCCAGAACTGTGCATATGCATGGGACTCTTTAACTGACGCTTGCTCCAGTCCACAGACGTAAACAGGTGGGAGTATCCATCTTTTACAAACAGTCTATAAAATATTGGATGATTTGCAACCCTGAATATACCTGTTTTTTTATGGGTAAAGGGATAAGGTTCAGAGTTGCCGCTAGCATGGTTCAAAATTAGTGATCTTTGTGAATTGTTTTGTGCAGATTCACCCCAGGAGAATTTTTTACTAAACATCATGCACTTAATGGCCTTTAAACTATTGCCATCAGGCTTAGAAGGGCCAAAAAGGAGACATTTGGATAAGACACATAGGATAACACGCCGGGGATGGACACATAGGATAACACGCCGGGGATGGACACATAGGAGAACATGCCGGGGATGGACACATAGGATAACACGCCGGGGATGGACACATAGGATAACACGCCGGGGATGGACACATAGGATAACACGCCGGGGGGTTTACTGGCTGTAGAAAAAAAAATGTCAAATGCCAAAAACAGCCGCTGTAAACACATCCAGTGTGCAGGAGGGCTAAAGCTGAACTCCAAGTACCAAAAACTCATTTAAATATATTCCTACCCATACAAGATGTAAATCTACTCTGAGCGCACCAAATGCCTTCGCACACCAAGATTCAAATACAAATTGCATGGCTCCTGTGGACAAAGGGACTATTTACTAAAACTGGAGAGTGCAAAATCTGGTGCAGCTCTGCATAGTAACCAATCAGCTTCCAGGTTTTAGGGCTCATGTACCCTGCAGCTGATAAACTCACGTTTAGGAACTTTTCTGCATTTTTTTCAGCAGCCCCTGAACTCCCCCTCATGTTTTCCTATGTGTCCATGTACACATCGTCATTTACAGGCAGTTGAGTTTACAGTCGTTTTTTTTAATGCACCAAACTTGCATTCAGGAGTAGATTTTATCAGCATTTCAAATGCCAAATGCTTGTAAACGTATGTAAACGCATTTAACCGCGTTTGCGTTTAGAAGCGTTTTGCAGTCATGACATGACATGCAGTCATGCAGGTACTTTTAATCAGCATTTAAACCATTACATGTTCTACGCATTGTGGAAGACCAACTACCCAATGAATACCTGCCCTTGAACATCACAGCATTCACCCGGCACTCCAAGATATAACAGAATCCAACTGCAATATTCTTGTACTGTCAAAACCTCCACTTTTATTATCACACGACACACATGAGGATATATCTTATAGTCATCGCAATCTGCATAATAACACACACCAATAATAATGGGAGCATTACAGCATGAAATAGACACATCATTTGACAGCGTCACAGCATAGAATTAATACATTAACAAAAAGCTATGTGGAAGCTGGGAGGAACAAATCAAATCGGAACCAAACTGCCCAAGGGGTCACGTAGAAGCCATAGGCGCGACCAGTCAAGCCCATATAGCCTTAGTAAAAATCCCAGCGTCAAAGCGTCCTCTGGCCACTAGGGGAGCTTCTACTGGTCTTGCCTGGACCTCCGCCTTATAAACCCTTTTTCTGGAAGCGGTCCAATTGTGCGCGCGGCACCACACCCACCACAGGAGGAGCTAGCAGAAGGGTTCCGCGAGGATAACAATCACGTTCAACCACCATATTCATTATCTGAAAAGTCACACTTTTGCTTCTTATCTACACACCAAAACCTCTTTTCATCTCCCCCAGACTTAAGGATTTCTAAATTAGATGTTCTTAAACAGGTTTTTCTTTCCTAATGTGAGGTTACTTGATTTCACAAAACAGGGTTTATTCCATAAACAAGTTTTTATCTTGCTCTCAGCAAAATATCTTGTGACTCTGTCCCTTTGGCTAAAGAAATGACATCAAGTCACTTCTCATGCCCCTGGCATTTGGGCAACAATGCTTTATTGTAAAAATTACCCAAGAAACAAAAGGGTCCAAGGCCAACACATTTCATAGGCATTACACCCCTGTTTTGGCATTGTCAGTGGAAAGGGGGAAATGCCCCAAGGTTAGTGGTGTCAGTGGGAAGAAAGAAATGTTTTTCAGAAAGGGACAATTTGTAGTATAACTTTTGTACTTTGACTGGCTTTCGGAAGTGTAGAACAGGTATTGTCAAACAAGAACAGGTGCAATGTGGATACCGTGCCTCTGCAATGCGAGATTCAGCTGCTGGTAGCCAGGAAACTGGTGCTCTCAGTGCTTCTGCTTACCTGTCCTCCTCACTCTCTTTGAGCTCCATCTTATGAAGTTCTGAGTCCTGGGTGGTTGGGTCAACCCTGGTGATGAGCAGTGCCGAGGTAATGCTATCTTTCCCAGGGGCCTGTCTAGACACATGCTTGCGTGAGCACCAAAGTAGCTGTAAAGTGGCTGCTGGACTGGCTCTCTGCTTCGATTCTGAATATAGACATCAGCTGAATTTGAATCCACTAGCTCCAGAACTGTGCATATGCATGGGACTCTTTAACTGACGCTTGCTCCAGTCCACAGACGTAAACAGGTGGGAGTATCCATCTTTTACAAACAGTCTATAAAATATTGGATGATTTGCAACCCTGAATATACCTGTTTTTTTATGGGTAAAGGGATAAGGTTCAGAGTTGCCGCTAGCATGGTTCAAAATTAGTGATCTTTGTGAATTGTTTTGTGCAGATTCACCCCAGGAGAATTTTTTACTAAACATCATGCACTTAATGGCCTTTAAACTATTGCCATCAGGCTTAGAAGGGCCAAAAAGGAGACATTTGGATAAGACACATAGGATAACACGCCGGGGATGGACACATAGGATAACACGCCGGGGATGGACACATAGGAGAACATGCCGGGGATGGACACATAGGATAACACGCCGGGGATGGACACATAGGATAACACGCCGGGGATGGACACATAGGATAACACGCCGGGGGGTTTACTGGCTGTAGAAAAAAATGTCAAATGCCAAAAACAGCCGCTGTAAACACATCCAGTGTGCAGGAGGGCTAAAGCTGAACTCCAAGTACCAAAAACTCATTTAAATATATTCCTACCCATACAAGATGTAAATCTACTCTGAGCGCACCAAATGCCTTCGCACACCAAGATTCAAATACAAATTGCATGGCTCCTGTG